TGCTTGAGTCTCCAGGAAATTCACTGGCACTCTCTGGAGTTTCAAATAAATGCAGGAGCTTTCCATGGAAACGGCGCAGACCAGAGGCWGTGGCTGATGAAAGGGAAGGGTCTYRTGTGCAGGGGATACAGAAAGTCAAAACAGCATCATAACTTGGATCGTTTGGAGTGTTTTCCCCAATTTCTGAAGGTTTGGAGTGACTTTGTGTCATGAAAATGAGCRGTTTAGGGTCGGATCTATGAAGAGSCATGGCTGGAAAMTGATAAATATAACAGACAGCAAAGCAGAGTTAAAATCTCACTAGCATTTCAAAGACATGAAACCCTAATGCTGGTAGGAAACCAGGGATTGAAGAAAGCAAACAACATCCTCCTGGAATCCCTTTAGCTCTGGAACATGTAAATTGCTGTTTTTCTCTGTAAATGCACTTCCCCCTACAATAAATTAGTCTTACTGATCATAATTTTGTCCTTTCAGTTGTGCAGCAGAAGCCTGGAAAATGACATTTCAGGCACTGGGAGAGAAGACCTAAAACAGATTTGCCCATTTAGAAAATAATCTCTAATCTCAGGCGACTGAAGAGGAAGACCAAAGAGTGGCACAGATGAGACAGTTCCACATTCCTGGAACAGGAGCTGGGACTCCCCAAACAGCTGCCCAGGCACAGCTCCAGATGCTGCTTCTGTGCTGAACCAACACATGCAAGGAGGAATTGCTCAACAGAGTTAAAAAGCATCTTGTAACAAATGGTAATGTATCCCTGGTTTCTCCAAAGAGTGCGAAAATCGTGCTGCAGGTTTGGAAACTTGGCCTAAACGTGAGGTTTCACCAAATCCACTTAAGCTGGTGGTGCCTTTCTGTGGAAATATGAGACATTTGGGGGATGCAGTGGATGTGTGACCTACAGAGCTCTGCTGGAAAGCCATCCCATCCCATCCCATCCCATCCCATCCCATCCCATCCCATCCCATCCCATCCCAATTGGCTCATTCAGCTTGTTTTGCTCATCACAGCCAGTGCCAGCTTCCCAGCAGCATCCCTTCTTTACCCCTGATCCCCCCAATACCTTAAACATTGGAAATTGTAGAGATTCTGAAGAGTAAATTACCTGGACTGGAGAGAACTGCTGGTGTTCATTGATTCTTCTTTTGAAGAATAACATTGAACGAGTAATTCAGATTTGTCAGAAAAATGTATACTGAGCTTCAATTTAGGGGAAAACAATAAATACATTGATTGATTGCAACTAAGCCTGTTTGGCACTTATAAAAGTGAATTACTCATTCCTGGAAAGCAAGATGTTAACTAGCTGATTTGGTACTAAGGCAGCAAAACCTTTTTTTTTTTTTTTGCTCTCAGAGAAGCACTGGACATTTCATAGAGATGATTTGTGGATTCCACGTGTTAATACGCTCTAAAATTGGTGAAATAATGTTGTTTGGAGGGATTATCCTCAGCCTTCCAGCCCCAGGGTATGCACAGGGGGAACTCTCACATGGGGTCACCCCATTGCTGCTGTCCCAGACACTGCAGATGTCACACACAAATATTGGCTCAATGCAACATGTTCCAAGCACACCCTGGCAGAACTACTTAGCAAGAGTCTGGCTATCAATAAACTTTCTGACAAAAGACTATGGCAAAAAAAGAATTTGCAACCAGGGCCAATTTGTCATCTAGAACTGAGGTACAAGCTCAAGTCAGATGCTGCTGCCTCCCTTCTCACTTCCATCTTCCAGCTTGAAAAAAAAAAAAATCACCCCGGGGAGATAATTGTGCTGATGCTATGTGTCATTTTTTAAAACTGTATTATAGTCAGACAGTCAGTATGTTGGTCTACGTGTTGAAATTACAGCTCAAAAACTTCCTAAGTAATCTGCCCATTAGGGAAGAATCAGTCAAGTGCCAAAGCAATGAATGAAGACAGGACTGCTTTAATCTCTGAAAAACAGAAACTTTTCCTTTAGAAGAGGAGTTGTTTAGAAGAACAATGAAAGCTGCCAGTGACAGCACCTTGAAAAGGGATGAACTTATTTTGGCATCTCTCCTCCTGGTTGTTTGAAAACTGCACAGTCCCAGTTCAGCGATGTCTTTCTCCAGGAGCTATAAAAGCTTTTCTCTCTACTCCACTCCCTTTCACAGGCACACAGGTAAGAATAAAGTACTTAAAACCGTGTGGACCACTTTACATTTGATGAAACATTCAGTGCTTAACAACTCCATTTAAGGTCTTATTCATGTGCTGCAGGTATTTCTGATCAGAAGGCAGAGCTGGTAGCAAAGGGAATAGTCTCCATTGGTGTGAGTATGTTTATCTAACATCATTAATGAAATTAAAAAAGTCCATGCGTTGCAAAAAAAAAAAGGCAGTGGCTGTCAGGATACAATGTCAGCAGGCACTGTGAAGGATTTTCAGCTGACTTCACATCCTCACAGGCTCCTTCTGTTTAATGCCTTGGCAAGCAAAATCATCAAAACCCATCGACGGGGCTGGCACGCGCTTAAGTACCTCATTTTTCCGTAGTCTTGGTATCTATCAACCTTAAAAGATTGTGATTTCTGAGCAGCACAATAAATTCTGGTGGAGCATATGGACAGCTGAGCTTAATCGCTGCTGGCTGGCAACACAACAGCTTGTGCTTGGCCCTGCTGAGAAAAGGCTGGCGCTTGGAAACTCTTCAAGGAAAG